ACATGTGTACAGTGAGAAGTGGTGCTCTGTATATGTATATCATGGAGGGAGTTGTGTATAGGGGGGTCATGTGTACAGTGACAGGTATACCTGTGAGGCTCAGTATATGCATTGAGAGCTGCGCAGCTCGGGGTTATAGCAAGTCATGCCTAAAGAAAGCTTATAACAAAGTCCATGTATAATTAAGGTCCACTCTACTATACCATTCTACAAACAAGACTAAAACCCGGGAAACTACCAAACAAGTGAGGTCTTTTAGTCGTCAGCGTGGTCAAATATTCTAACCCAGCACTTGTACCTTCTGAAATCTGAAAATATAGTTCATAAATACTGTACATCAGGGACACGCCTGAACTAGTATTTCAGCGTGCCCGTTCGCGGAGACATATGGTTATGAAGAGCCCTTTTAGATGAAAATCTACCACATTGGAAGGTGCACAGTTTGTTACATCTAGCACTATCAGCTGCAACCATTGTCTATGGATCTTGCATGGTGAACTAGTCCATATACCAAATGGGAGAAATTGGAGGCTTAAAGGCCGTGTTGATTGTAGCACCACAGGAGTAGTTTATCTGGTGAACTGCTCCTGCGGTGCCTTTTATGTAAGTAAAACATCGAGACCCTTTCATAAACATGAACATACAGGATCATATATACTTGAATAACAATGGGCAAAACAGTTTGGGATTCAGTTTTTTAAAGGATCATTGTTATGAGAAGAAAACATTGTAAAAGACTTATGACTAAACTATGAGGAAGGGTTAATACATTTATCAGATATTTTTTATTTTTATCTGCGACCCAGAAGGGAACATTTTGCCTTACTTCTTGTCCCAGTGATGCTCATATAAGAAACAGGGGGCTTGTAGTTGCCAACTCATTATCAAATGTTCTAACCCTTCCCCACTCTGCTGAAAATGTGTTTTCATTTCCGTCTGTTATTCCAATTGGAGAGATTTCCCACCATGTCTTGTCCTGACAGGAAGTGAGGGGTAATCTCTCCAACAGGAAGTTATTAATAAAACCTGGCAAAGGCTTTTACTCTCCCCTGATCCATCTAAAACAAAATAAAATGTTGTGGCTGGAGCTGAGCTTCAATAAAGTTGGCCATTTGCCTACATGTGATGTTATCTTATGTATCTCCTCCTTGATGCAATGTGGGAAATGCTGCTTAAGCACAAGTTTCTAAATATGATACCCATCTAAATATAACTCAGTGAACCTCAGCCGTGTTTCATGATTGCTATTTACAGAGTGGTGAGTCATGGCCAATTGGCATGAAAACACCATGCCAGGACTATAACTGAGCAATGCATTTACACTTTCTGGGTGTGTTCAGAAGCAGGAAAACCTGTCTTGGCCTTGTAAATAATTAAATATGTCTTGTTATAGTAAACATGCCGGCCGCTCGGTCAGCTTCGTCTTTCAGCACGGCTCAGCGCTCGACTGAGCCGCTCGGCCGTGATCGGGAGCTGTACGGGCTATTGTGAATAGCCGTACAGCACCCCCTCGGTTCTCCTGAACCGAAGGGGTCCTGGTGCCGAAGCTAGCCGAAGGATCGGCCGAAGCTACGGCCAGATCCTTCGGCAGCTTTGTGAATAGACCCCATAGTTTTAGTATTAGTTGTGAATTGTGTGTAATCAGATCATATCCCAGAGAAAGCCTTGAGCAACACAAAGATTTCAGACACAGTTGACATAACATCTCAACGTTATTTTCTGATAACATTCAGGAGAAAAATCACCCCAATGGCTGAGAAAATTCACCTATCCAGCCATGCATGTCTAGATTCGAGAATGTTTGTATGCCTGCTGGCCTCCCAATACCTGATGGCTGAGCCTATAATAATTCATCGCCCAGGATGAATCTTCTCAACCAATAACTGGTGTTTTCCCCTCTGGCAGACAGGTGCTTGCAGTACTCTCCTCTTCATGCAAATTTTTCCTATTGCAACTTTGCACTTTGTGCCCGAATGTCAGTTGGAAGGAACTGATATGTTGTTAAATGTGAAAAACGAAAAAAAAAAAAAAAAACCAGCATGGGGTCCCTGGG